CTGCTCCCATAAAGATCTACAGCCTTGGAAACCCCGTACAGGGTCACTATGAGTCGGAACTGACTCACGACACATAACAACAACAAAGATCAGCACTGGACTGTGAACCACAATGTCAGCAGTTCAAACCCACCAGCAGCTGCTCCTGGGAAACCCTATACAGGGTCACTATGAGTAGGAACAAACTCAACAGCACTTAATACTCTGGAAAGAGGAAAGTTAAGGCCGTACTTTTAAGACCTTCTGTACACCAAACACTACAAGAGTAGTCCCGCTTTAGCAGTTCTATGAACTTGCAATCAAGAGAAATAAGGCTGCTCTCTGGGGCTTCACCAGTCCAGCAATAAGACTCTCATAAACACGCTGGTTCTATTTCAGTACCACGGTGCAAACTAGCGAAAAACAAGCAGTCATCTGGGCAATCTCAAAGTCCTAGGAATTAAATTGTTTTAAAAATTCCATTTCCCCCATAAACAATAGCATAATCACCCTGAAGGAAGAAATGTCTAGAAAGCTTTAGGAGAAAACTGTGTTATAATTAGAAAATGTAGCAGAGTTCTATTAATTTTGTATCCAGAGTCAAACCATCAATCAACTCTGGGTCAAGGTCCAAAAGACAACAAATAAGCTAATCCAAATGCAAACTGCCATGGCAACAGAAACACCACAACAAATTTATACAGAGGCTCCAGTAAGTCAAAGATATAGCGTGGTCTTTATCTGCACTGCCCAATGCGGTGAACAGCCTAAGTGGCTACTGAACACTTGAAATCACTGATTTTCAACTTTAGGGCAGTTTCATTCCTAAATCTCTTTAAATCGAAAGTTAGATATGGTTTGTATCTAAGGACAGTCAAATGTCTTATTACATAGTGTACATGTCTATACATAAAGAACATTTAAGAGACACCTTCAGGTACATTAAAACATCTCTAACATAGTACTGTAATAATAATAATAATATTTCGACATACAATGGAAAGTAGTGCTCATTTGCTTTAAGGAACCACTGTATATACCTCAACTTTTTAACATTAATAGGATTTACGGGAGGATGTGGGGGGGTGGAGGTTTACAACCGTGGGTGAACCTGTGTTTGTAATCCAGAGTCTAACTGTAATTTTAATTAAACAGCCACACGTGACTAACAGCTGCTATATGGTTGATGCTTCGAGAGAAAAAGGCCTTTGGTTTTGATTATTTTCTTATACATCCCATTTCTAGCACAACACAAGGCATATATTATATCAGTGATCCACAGAGGTAGTATGGGAACATTTTCTAGAAGGTTTTATGTTTGTAAAGGGGTAAGGCCTAAGAATAAACCACACCTAAATATTCAGACAAATCAAATCACTGACTGCAATAGCTAGAGAAAACTGAAGACCCAGCTTTTATAACCAGCTAAGAGAAATCTGGTTTGGTGCTGTAGGATAAGCACTGGACTGCTAACCATTAAGATTGGTGGTTCATACCTACCAGCCGCTCCTTGGAACAGCTATCGGGTTGCTATGAGTCAGAACAGACTCAATGGCACTTAACCACCCCAGGACTCCTGAAGAGAGTCAGGTTACAGTTAAAAGCACAAAGGTAAGAAATAAAACAGTATCTTTCCCAGGGGGAGATACTACAGGTATTTATTTAATGGTGGGGTAAAGGACCCAATAAAGAAGTCTAAGAATGCAAGGTAAAGTAGGGGATGATCAAAATATTAAGGTCTCTGAAAGTTAGGAAGATGAGAGGTAGAGCATGCCGAGGTGTAACAGGTGGCAGAGCTTTGGGATTCACCCAAGCTGAATTTACCAAATCTGATGGAAGGGTTTATGGACTATCTATCCTGGTGTGGCACTGTGGGATAAAGTACTGGAACGCAAGGTCAGTTTGAACCACAAGGTCAGCAGTTCAATCTCACCAGCTGCTCTTTGGAAACCCTATACAGGCTCGCAATTAGTCAGAATCAACTTGATGACACTTAACGACAACAATGAAAGTGACTGGAATGAAAGACTTGGGATCCAAACTGGATAAGGAGATAAGACAGGAAGACCTGATAAAGAAAAAGTATAGAAGACAGCCAATGAATTGAGTTTTTGACGAAATTAAAAAACCAATTCAGGGAGCGCTATTTAACATGCTGCCCTAGTGGCACAGAGGTTACAGCTTTTGGCTGCTAATCGAAGAGTTGGCAAGTGGAACCCACCAGCTGCTCTGCAAGAGGAAAATGTGGTAGTCTGCTCCTGTAAACAGTTGTTAAGTATCGTAGAGTCAGTTCTGACTCACATTAACCCTATATAGGGTTTCTGAGGAGTGGCTGGTGGGTTTGAACCGCTGACCGTGTGGTTAGCAGTCAAGTGCTTACCCTACAGCTTACACTAGAACTCCCTTGGGAGCCCTGTGGGGCAGTTCTACTCTGTTCCATGAGTCAGAATCCATTCAACTGTAATGGATTTGGTTTGGTTTTCTGTTTAACAGGGCCTATCTGAATGAACACATCTGTTTGCCTCAGAGTCCTTCCAAAAACCAACTTAAAGTGAGAGCAAAGAGATTGGATTAAAAAATAAAGTGGAAACCCACAAAGGCAAAAAGAATAGAAACAGATACAGATGTCAAAAAAAAAAAAAAAAAAAAAAAAAAGTGGAAACTGGGAAGCAAATGGATGAGTCTTAGTTCTCTTAGTAGATCTGAGAACAGTTTGCCTGGTGGGGAGAAGGGAGCTAGATGACAATGCGCAAGCCAAGGGACAACTTGATTCATACTGCAAAATCCCAGAAGGTTTAGGATTGGAAGCATCAAGTACAGGTGTCTAAGCAGCCAGAAGACTCCTAGTCCTGGGGTGGTTACGTGGCAACGCTATCTTCCCACCATCACTGAAGACTATACTTCAGGGAGAATTCTGGACTCTCAGACAATGGACTCAGTTTAGGACAGAAGCACAAAGGTGCTAACAAAAGTTCATGGAAAATGCCAAGACTGAAAATACTTAGTTTCTCATATAATACTGAGAATAGAAAATTAAGCGAAAGCCTACATTATCACTGAGATTCACTCTCAGCTTCATTCACCCCCGGGCCCTAAAAACACTGGCTTGTAACTCCCAGGCAAATGATAATCAGACTCCTCTCAGGGAAAAACCAGGCTCCTACAACACACCAACAGAAAGACAATGGAAGTTCCCCTTCTCAATTATCCATCCTCTACTATGTTTTCTGCCCTAGTAGGCTGGCCTCTATGGGGCATAGCAACAGGTTCTCCCCACACTGAGTTCTGGTTACATGTGGTCAATGAGGAGACCCAGCAAGAGACTAAAAGAGAATAAGGTCAAGAGTTAGTTCTCTAGCTCCCTCCCTACAAGGTCACCTCAAGCTGGCTGTTTCCTTTCAACTGAAAGGCACCACTCTTCTCAAGGCAGTCAGTCAACTGCCTACTCTTTTTTCAAGTTTAAGTAACTACTCATCTTCAGACCTAGGAACATTAGCAGTCTGACTACAGATTACCACACTGTTTCTTGTGGAATCATTATACCCACATTTTTATAAATAGTACCTTAATAAATAAGCCCTCCTCTAATTATCCTATTTCAAATGTGCCATCTGCTCCTGCTGGGATCATTATTAACAGTATTGATAATGAGGATAGGTTGTAACAGAGTGGTGAAAAATAGGAAGAGAAAGGTAACTTTTAAGTAACAATTACTAACATAGTTTGAGCTTTATATGTCAAGAACTACTCTCTGTAGGTATTAACTGATTTAATCACAAACACCTCTACTAGAGATTTTTGTGTGGCTCATTTCCATATACCAAGACCAAGACCAGTTGCTAGAGTGTGGTAAGCACTCAAACACTGATTTTAAATGCAACAATAAACACGTTTAGAAGGGACGAGCTGGTTTGTTTAGACACTAAAATAATCCCCAGATCACAGAAACTGACTAAATACTCTGAGAACATAATGTGATTTTTTTTTTTTTTTTTGTAGCTTAAGGTGAGTCTTATCTTCCAACCAAGTAAACTAGGATCTGGGCCCCAATTTTAAAGACTAACAGCTGACAAATGGTGAATTAGCAGATGTGTATTTTATTTATGCTTCTCACCACAATTTTTTAAGTGTTATATTAAAAGTCGGAGTTGTAAATGTTTAATTACTAGGACTTTTTTTTTTTTTTTAAAGAAGAAAAAAAATAAACCTCAAGTATGCTTAGGAGTATAAAATGCGTAACAAGGTAAAAACGGGCAATTTGTCAGTTTGCATAAGCCTCTTCCGTTTCCAAAGCACTTTGTTTGCCATTTTCAAATTAAACCACAGGATGCTCACAACAGTTCTATGGAACTAGTGAGGCCCGTCTTAATTTTTAAACCCTGAAAAGTCAGGGAAGTGACAAAATCAGAAAACCAATATGCAGTAATAAGAGAATTCCAAAGACTTTCGGAAACTAGGAGTGAGACTTTTTTTTTTTTTTTCTTTACACTGGTATACTGGGAAACTCAGGTATAAGAAATCCACAAGCATGGTAAGTTTCAAGAGTAATGAACTCAAACTACGGTTAGTTTCGGCGAATGAGCAGTGAGATATGAGCAAGATTACGACTGAGAAGAAAAGAGTAGATGCCACACCTTGACGGGGGGATAAAGGATAAAGCATCCTTAAGTGGCAAGTAAAAGACTGGGCTCACAACTCAAACCAAGGATAAAGAAAGGGACGAGCAGGGCCTAAGAAGCAACGGCCAGGGGAAAACTTGAGGAAGACATCGGTGCCACCGGTTAAGAGGACCTACAAATCAGATTCTACGGATTGGGAAAAGGGCCAGTTCAGGACCGACCAGCTGCGACTAGTTTCCAAGAAGAGGCACAGCTGCAGCTTCGCGGCCCCACCCCGCGGCAGCAGCTCCTCCCCAAGGAGGATCTCACGAGGCCAGGAGCTGGGTGGAGGCTGCCCCCTCGAGCCTGGGGCTCACTCCGCCCCAGCCCCGCGGCGCAGAACGGCCTCTCCGGGCCCCTCACCGAACGCTGCAGCTCCCCAAGCCAAAACGAGGCGCGCTCCTTTCCGCTGGGATCTGGGTCGTGGTAAAGAGCCTGCACTGCCTGGTACACGAGCTGCAAAGTCGGCTTGGCCCCTTCCATGGTGGTGGTGGCGGGGCGGCAGCGGTGGCTCTGGCTCTTCTCCCGAAGCTTCTCCGGTTGCTCTGCCTTTGCGCTTCCTCACTGCCTCGGCCACGGCCGCTCCCTGACTGGCGCCATCTCCTCCTCTTTGGCCGTTACCAGGGCAGAGGGGTTCTGCGTGGAAGGTGCCCCCTCGGAAACAGCGGTCAGGTCGTTTTCAGGTTCCTGCCTTATTTTCTGATCCTTCCACTAGACTCCAGACTTCTGAACCCAGACGCTGATGCCCGCCTCTTCACCCACTGCTTTTGCCTCCGAAGTCTATCTTCGTCAGTCACAAACCATGCTCAGGACCTCAGCCGCGTTTACCCGGACCGGAAGCGGCAGCACAGATACCTTTGGCACACTTCCGCCCCGTGCTCTGCAAACGGCCTCCTTCCCGGCACGCCTCCTCGTCTTCCCTCCCTCTCCCGGAAGTGACCCTGACGGACCAGGACCCGGGAAGAAGGGATTGGGTTCGGTGCTGATCCACGCGTCAGTCTGGAACTTTAGGACCGACTTGTTCCCTTTCCCGATCTGCTGTTCTTGTTGGAATGGATCCTGGGGCTTTCCTGACCTCCAGACTTCCCCATCTTCTCCACTGTTGTTAGTGCCATCGAGTCGATTCCGACGCATGGTCCTGAAAAGCGGCTGGTGGGTTTGAACAGCCGACCTTGCGTTTACATCCCTGTGCTTATCCTACAGCGCCACACCAGGGCTCAGTCTACTAGAGACCCAAATGTGACTTAAATTATAATTTCTACACCACCGCTAGTGGAGGAGGCCGACTTAACATCAACTATTAAACAAACCTGAGCCCTGGTGTGGCTCCTAAGATAAGCACTGCCCTGGAATGCTAATCATAAGGTCGGTAGTTCAAACCCACCAGCCGCTCCTCAGAAACTCTACAGGATCGCTATGAGCCAGAACGACTCGACAGCACTTGACAGCAACATTCTACAAACCTGAAATAGGTGCCACATTAAAATCTGAAAGTGTCTTGAATCCCTACTTAGAACCCTATGTCACCAAGTCCGCATGCCCAAAAGGAGTCTTTCTACCATTTGGCAGGCTCTGAACTTAAGAGTACATGAGTACATTTTCAGGATCGTTCTCACAGTAAATGGTAACCTTGTGCAAGCCTTTCCTTCCAGAAAAAAATCAGTGGCCTGGCAATTTCCAATTCACAAAAGAAAATAACAATATTAGCGTTTACGATGGAGATATTTGGAACAAAATGTAGCAGTATGTTAAAGGACTTCCCAGCATTATCGCTACTTTTTTTTTTTTTGCGTTAGTAAGTAACTGCTACTCCTGGTGTGGCAATATAAGATAAGCAGTGCACGTTGAACCATACATTAAAGTTCAAACCCACCAGCTACTTCTCAGAAACCCTATACAGGGTCACAATGAGTCACAACCAATTTGACCAGCACACTTAACAACAACAAGGAGCTCTGGTAGCGTAGTAGTTACAAGTCTGGCTGCTAACCTCAAAGATAGCAGTTTGAAACTACCAGCTGTTCTGTAGGAGAAAGATGACGCTCTCTGCTCTGGTAAAGATTGACAGCCTCGGAAACCCTCAGAACCTACTCCAAGGCACATCACCACAAACAACACCAATTTGATGAGTGCTTGCAATATATTACATTGTTGTTGCAAGATCTGGTTTTACAGCCTTACCAAGGTGACCTCTTAACAATCTTAGCAAATAAATCCCTTCTTTTACCTAATGAGAAATAAAAATAGGTTATGTAATTTTGCCCAAGATTTGCACTCAGCTGCTGCCCAGTTGCTCCACTAGTGCAGAAGGAAGCCAAAGATTACACAACTCTTAAATGAAACTCAGGATTTGATCCATATCAGTTTCACCCCCAAAACCTGTACAATCCATATCAACATAGTATTAGATTGCTTCTGAATTGTTAAAAGATTTTAACTGCTAATCAACACAGTGAAAACAATTACTGCATGGAGTTGATATATCAGACAAAAGAAAATAAGCTTGATATTTCAGTTATTTGATTCATACAATTAAAATAACAATTTGGTATCCATTATTAAAGAGCTTACTAACTGAAAAGAAACGTCATATAGTTGGACCTCCTACCAGCTACCATAAAAAAAAAAAAAGTAACATAAATCTAAGACTTTTGTCTATTTATTCATCTATAAGATAATAGATGTTTGAGTTGTTTTTAAAGATTTTATTATGAATAGTTTTATTTGTATACAAGTTTCTGTGTGGGCATATGTTTTTCTTTCTCTTGGCTGGATACGTGGGAGTGGAGTTGCTGAGTCATTTGGTAATTCTATGTTAAATCTTTTGAGGAATTTCCAGACTGTTTTCCAAAACAACTGCACCAATTTATAATTCCACCACAGTGTATTAGGGTCCTAATTTCCCATCTTCACTGTTGCTTTTTTATTTCAGTTTTAGCCATCCCAATAGGTGTGAAGTGGTATCTCATTGTATTTGATAAGCATTTTCCTGATTACTAGTGACGTTGAACATTTTTTCCAGTGTTTACTGATGATTGCATCTTCTTTTGAAAAGTGTCTATTCAAAACCTTTGTTGTTAAGTGCCGTCTTGACCCATAGCAACCCTGCACAGGGTTTCTGAGGCTGTAAATCTTTATGGCTGTAAATCTTTCGCCCACAGAGCAGCTGGTAGTTTCGAACAGCTGACCTTGCCGTTCGCAGCCCGATTCGTAACCACTACGCTGCCAGAGCTCCTTATTCAAACCTTTTACCCATTTAAAAATTGGTTGTCTTTTCATTGCTGAATTACTAGAGTTCTTTATAAGTCCTAGATACTAATTCTTTATCAGATATGATTTGCAAATATTTTCTCCCATTTTGTGAACTGTCATTCCACTTTCTTGGTGAAATAAATAAAAATATTCATAATAAAATCTTTAAAAACAACTCAAACATCTATTATCTTATAAATGAATAAATAGACAAAAAGCCCTTGGGTGATACAAATGGTTAAACAAGTATGACCTAAAAGCTTGGCAATTTGAATCTACCCAGAGGAAACCTTGACAGGTGATCTTTTGCAAAGCCACAGCCTTGAAAACCATTGCTTATGGTCAGTGGAAACAAGGGTAACATGCATTGGAAAGCAACCAAATCTCTTGTAATCAGATATCCATCCAAGTAGGAAACAGGAAGGAGTCCTGGTGTGGTGCTGTAAGATAAACACTGAACCACAAGGTCACCAGTTAAATCCACCAACCACTCCTTGGAAACCTTACATATGGTCGCTATGAGTTGGGACTAAATTGGCCCTTACCAACACCAGGACACAGGCAGAGGTGCCCCACTCAAAAGATGATGGCTGACTAACACACATTCAAAGAGGTGCGGTTGGGTCACCATCTTTTAAATGGGGCACTGCTTACTACTTGAGTTAAAATCTGACCATAAGAAATTTGGTTGTTCTGCAATGTATGCATTAGCCTTAGTCATGGTCTGTTGGCCATGACTGAACGTTTCAAACCGGTTCCAAGTCCTACTGAAAACTCTATGGAGTGCAATTCTACTGTAACCCACACGGGGGCACTATACATTGAAATCAACTTGATAGCAATAGATTTGTTCTTTATATAACTCGCAAATGATTAAATTCAGCACCCACTCTACTCTGGCATGGCCTCATTAACATAACAAAAGTAATCCTTACCTCTAAACAGAGTCATATCCACAGGTACAGGGATTACAACATCAACACTCGAAGACACAGTTCAATCCATAGCAACATGAAATATTTGATTCCAAAACCTTGTTTGTCCTTACACACAATGACCACACAGGAAAACTGGATCTCTATGCAATGTTTTACATGCCCAACCCTAACCTAACAGAACATGCCCCCATTCCTTTCTCCTACAAGCATTTGAACCAGGGTTCATAAACAAAAAGTTAAATTTTCTGAGGGAAAGAAGGAAAAAGAAAGTGAGTGCTCTTTTACTGACTAGTGATGAGTATACCTGAATAGAGTTCATTACTTACTTTGGTCCTTCCAGCCATATTTCTGCATTCTGTGAACTATTATTATAAGTCCTACCATCAATACTTGTCATCATGGTCCCATTTTGGAGTGAGGCAGGATTAAAGCCACTCTTTGAAAACCCTATACAGGATTGCTATGAATCAGAAGGGACTCTGAGGCACTTAACAACAACAACAAAGGTTAAGAATTAAGGTGAGACTAACAATCTCAACAACTCATGGAAACAACAATAGAGAAATCAACTGATGTATTGCATTAGGCAAATCTACTGCACATGACTTCTTTAAAGTACTCAAGAGCAAAGATGTCAGTTTAAGGACTAAGGTGCAGCTGACCCAAACCATGGTATTTTCAATAGCCTCATATGCATGTGAAAGTTGGACAGTGAGTAAGGAAGACCATAGAAGAATTGATGCGTTTGAGTTATGGTGTTGGAGGAGAATATAGAAAGTATCATGGACTGCCAGAAGAACAAATAGATCTATGTTGGAAGGATTGCAGTCAGAATGCTCCTCAGAAGCCAGGATGGCCAGACTTTGTCTCTCCTATTTTAGACACAGTATCAGGAGGGACCAATTGCTAAAGAAGGACATCATGCTTGGTAAAGTGGAAGGTCAACAAAAAAGAGGAAGACCCCCAACAAGATGGACTGGCACAGTGACATCTCGGTGGGCTCAAGTGTAGCAACGATTGTGAAATTGGCAGAGGACTGTCCAGTGTTTCATTCTGTTTCATAAGTCACTATGAGTGGGAACTGATTCAGCGGTACCTAACAACAACAACAAAGGAATAAGGTTTAAGGTGAGACAAAGGATTACGGTGGGACAAGGATGAAGGTGGAACTAAGGAATAAGGAAGACCAGTCGCTGGAGACGGCTATCGTGTTTGGTAAGTTGGAGGGTCAGAGAATATGAGGAAGACTGCCAGTGAGATGGATTGGCAAAGTGGCAGCATCAATGGGCTCAAGCGTGGCAATGATAGTGAGGTTGGCCCAGGATCGGGCAGTGTTTCGTTCTGCTGTGTATAAGCTTGCTGTGAGTTGGCACCAACTCGATGACACTTAACAACAACAACAACAAAAGACTAAGGATTAAGGTGAGGTTAATGATTAAGGCCATACCATCCTGAATGCACAGGATCTCATCTGATCTCAGAAGCTAAGCAGGGTCGGGCCTGGTTAGTACCTGGGTGGGAGACCTCCTGGGAATAGAGGTTTGTAGACTATGTGGAGTCCTAGTGTGGCACTATAGGGCAAAGCACTGGACTGCAAGGTTGGTTTGAATTACAAGGTCGGCAGTTCAAACTCACTAGCCGCTCCTTGGAAACCCTATACAGGGTCGCTATGAGTTGGAACTTAACAACAACAACAAT